AGCTGTCAACCGTTCTTAATTCTTTTCAGAGTAACATTGTAAAACATTAAATTCTATAGACCAAAAAATCAAATTATTTTTAAATTCTAGAGTTATTACGTAACATCATATATCTTTATTAATTTCAATGAGTTTGATTTGACAAATATCTAAGTTTTATTATTTCATTAGTTTTGCCCCTTAGTGCAGCAACGAATTTCCTCTAAATAATAAAAAAGTGGTTACTACATTACTACATTAAGGTGAGTATAACAGTCAGTCACAACTTTCTGTTGACATAATTTGTGTTATGATAATAGAATATAAACACCATATTTGGCATTAATATATCATTTCATTTTAAGATTAACTAGCTAGATCTAGTGGCAACACTTTAACATATGGGATATGGGCCACATCATGTGAGGCCTCCATACTTGCATCACAATACCAGAATGTTACAACTTAACAACATATTATTTCTCTTGGATCTGATTTCCATTTACTTTATTTCCATTTATCATTGATAACAGCTTTATTCTAGTTTTTTTTAGTATATATTGGTAATATCTAATTGACAGGAAAGTTATCAATATCAAATAATAGGACAAAATACTCGTGATAACTAGATATTTGATAAAAAAAACTGGACTTGACTAGTTACATTTTTATATGTATTGTAGATTTTATGATGATGTTCCATTGAATTCTCAATTATTTTTTCATTACATGAATAGTACATAAATACATAAATAAGATAATTTACTTGTATAACAGATATTGGTGAGACAGTGGGTATATATAATATTTTGCAGCCGATGCTTTTCACATGGTGAAGCTAATTATCAAAGACGAAATCTTTTTAACCATACTCACAACATTATCCATCCTGTTACTATAAATACTAACTATATATTTCAATTGAACGGAATATGACCCCCTATGCACAAACTGGCATTAATCTAAATGAGCAACCGACCATGACACTTATTCGATTCTGGAATCTTCATTTAGGAATAGTGCTAGTATGTTTAATGATAATCTATTCTAATTCACACGTTTTTACAAGTCATGGTTTATATTACTTTAAAATAGAGAAAAGCAGAATCTGAACACGGCAAATTGAATATATTTCAGGCTCGGTTTGATTGAGCCTGTTGATGGACGGAACTGGAAAGAAATTGCATAATATTGTGGTGACCTTTATCTGCGCCAAGGTCACCAAATTACTGTGATTTGCCCCTTCGTCAACTGAACCAAACTCGATAATCATATCGAAAATAACCTTAAAATAGATTGCATGATACATCATTATGTTCTTAAACTCTTTGAAAATATTAAATGTTTTTTATTTGTTTGACTTAATTATTGATTAATGTATTAGGGTGTTGGGTAAATACATGTATGCTGAATTTAATATTTTGTAAGACTAAGAATAAGGTGACTATTTATTTTTCTTCTTGCGCTTGAGAGCATACAAATTATAAATTTAAGAAAATGGTGTGGGGTCTGTAGATATAGCTTTAAAAATATATAAGTATTGAAAACATTTTAAAAGTGCCTATTATCGCGTGTTTTGTTTTGTGTTACTTTTTTGTGCGCTTTTTGGTTACAGAATGGTGATATGTTTTGATTTTGATGTTGTTCTTGTAGATATACCTGTTGTCAAGTTCATCAATTGATGTGCATCATGACTTAATGTATACGTTCAAATAGCCCAACATGAACAGATTAAGTTCATGGCATTTTGAGTTATTGTCTTTATATTTCACCAGATAAATTCATATAATACTATCATTGTGTTTTATACGTGTAGTGCTGTATTATTTAAATAGAAAGAACTTTTATCCCTTAATAAAATTTAAAACGGCAAAATTAGAAATATTGCCAAAAAGGTTCTGACTTGTATTTTCTATATAACTTTTAAATCAAATTCAAAATTATAACCACCAGTCAATCAGAATCAACTTGGTTCGAAGTAAGAAAGTCCGAATCAATCAATATTTTCATGTACACATATTTATGTATTAAAGCATATTATTTTCTAAAACAAGTCGACAACTTATCTGATAAACATGAACTTCTTTGACGAAACCAACAGATACTTATGAATGGTTACTGAATGCGTATTGTATCAACTTTTTTCAATTTAAGGTGCATTGCAAATGCATTTCCAACTGCATTTATAAATACAAGCATAAAATGTAAACAAATGAACGCACATTTTGAAAGTACAGCGTGTCATTTAACGTCTTAATAATTTGTATTAATCCGACAATCCTTTGGAAATGCCATTTCAAGTGAATATCACAAAGGATGGGGTACCAAAAAACCTCAAAAATCAGTCATCCTTCTGAATTCTATAGCTGGTATCTACAACGTACATACACACAGTGCGCCATATATGATTGAAGAATGAAGATAAAAGTAAATACGTTCTACACAGAAAAAGACAAAATAAAAAGACAAATTAATCAATATTGATTAAGCCAATGATTATCAAATATATGTCTTATCTAAATACTTTAAATGCACCATTTCAGTAAATATAAATGTGCATTGTACTGACTAAATTTGCGTTTTAATATTAATAGGATGTTGTCTCTGTAATAAAAGCAAACGTGTTTTGCAGCTCATACGAAACAAAACGGGCCCAGGTAAAAAGACGGGAACACGTGTGATAAACAACACCGTTATTTTCTATACAATTGTACATTTTAAACCGTCTGCTCACATAATCTTTTCTGTTGCTAACATAACTAACTACTGTTTGAATTAGTCGAAAAGTTTTATATAAAAGCGAGAAACATACACGAGAATCAGGCCTATACGGTCATTGATACTTCTAAATAAATAATGAAACTATTTTAGAATTGCTAACACCAACATAATGCAACCCTTCTGTCACGGGTATATATGCATATAAGGTTATAAATTCAATTATATTTAAACTCAAAGTCTTGAGTAATATATATAGTAATTCCAGATTTATTTAACAGATTTGTATAACTTTTGTAATACCTATGTCCATATGACGACACATTTGTGCTCATTAATCTCAACCTCTTGACCACAATGGTTTGGGTCTAATGACTGTTTGGAATTTGGACATGTGTAAATAAATAAAGGTAATTAGAATGGACTTGTGTTTTGTGAATAGTCACAACAACTACCGACACAATGTTTAAACAGGATATCACCTGTCAATGTACCTAGTGCATCAGCGTTCAATCCTTAAAGTCGACAATAATCAGTAATAAAATTGATTTGAATTATAACGACAAAAAACAAAAGCAATTAATAAAGTAAACAACATCACATTCTTCAATCGTTAAATGCTTTTATTTTGACTATCAATATCTCTGTAAATAATCTTTAAGTAAATGTAGTTTAAAAGCCTTCTTTTAAATATTAAAAGGATCTGTCACAAATCACTGAGAAACACAAGTAAAAGTTCAATTGATTTTTCAATTTGCATTTTCGTGAAAACGAAAATAACACATTCCCGTTTAATAAATGATAGTCGGCATACATCTCGTAACGTTAGCAAACGTAAATTTAGATCATACCAAGTAAAAAATGAACACGTCTAGGCCTTGACAACATAGTTAAAATGAAAATAAAGTTGACTCACTCTTTTGTGACGACTTTTGAAACTGAGGTAGCGAGCTCTAAAACATGTATGCAGTTCTCGACATATTAATTCTTTGCCTACACGAAAATCGTGATTCGCGAGAAGATTTGTTCTGATAAAGTGCAAATATGAAACTCACAAACTTAAAGAATGATAAACTATATACGAATGATAGTGGTAACATCTGCAAATGTATATATATTAACCTGTGAAGTTAGTACATTACCGGAATACATTGCCCTTAATCATAATCATATTCACATGAATATGCATTGTGTTTAGTCGAACCATAAGACTTGTAAGTACATGTACATGTTACCTGAATCAGTTTAACAGGATCAAGGTGTTTATTGTATACTTTCACGTCCAATGTCAATTCTATTTATGTCTTTAGAGCTAGAATCATAAACTGATTTCTCCATAGACACAAAGCTGTAAAAAACCTAAGCATCCACTTGCTTTGGTAACGATCATAAATTTGTTTTCTAATGAGTTAATTTGTATGTTAAAAAGAGTTAACTTAAACACAAGCTCAATTGAATCGAACCAGTTACATTTACAATTTTACCGTATTTATCTATTATAAATTTTTTTCTACACATAAGATTCTAAAAATGTGTTTTTATTAAAAGCCTAAATACACTGATTTTGGCTTTTAAAATACGTTTAGGGATGGGCTGAAACACATAGACTGATATATTGTGAGCTTTCGGTAATTTATAGCCTTGAGATCCTTTTAATTCTAACAATTAATTGACATTTTATAAACATGAACGTCTATGAAAACGTAAAAACGTTAAACATGAGGCAATAAACTTCAGAATATTTACTGAAGTATGTTTAACAGATAGTGTATAAGAATATCCACTTGTAAGTTTGCTTTGATTATTTTGTACGCGAGCCTATTAAAATCCCATAAAGTCTGCTGTACAATGAATGTCTGATTTACAGGTAAACGGCGTATATTTTATTTGCAAAGTGTCACACAACATCTCAATCAACCGCGTTTTGATATCCAATAATACTTGAACATGTAGAGTGATTATCTAAGATTATAAGGTACCATAAATAAAACGATATATTAACAACATGTTGTGAACTCAACATTACGAATATTTCTTTCTTTTTATTTAGTTTTAATCTAAAGTCTTTGAGTGATTAGTATCATAAATCCCCCATGCATAAATCACCTGATATGATACAAGTAAAAAACAAAAGTAATTGCTTTCTTTAGAACGAACATTTGGGACCAACAATGAGAGGACAACATATTGTTTGCAGTACTTTTCTTATTCATTGTTTTTATATATATTTAACGTACAAATGTTCCCATTGTAGATATGTACTTTTTGAAAATAAATCTTTTGACATATAACCAAGACAAGTGTATATTTTAATGAAATTTATTTCTAATCTACAAACATCTACTGTGTAATAAGAAGGAGTAATTTATATCTTGTCAAATCTCATCATATCTCCTGTATTTTCATAAGTCACGTATGTTTTATAATCTTCATCAAACACAGGAAATCCTAGATTTAGACAAGCAAATTATACAGGTGTTGGGTTTATTTAAAGTTAATACATTTATATAGTCTGTACCATTAACAGAACAATCAAGTAACAAGTGACAAATTATTTTACTACCGCCTTTGTTTAAATTTCAAATTCAAATAGAATAGTATTCCAAATTACACACATTTCTAAAACAGTCTTCTTTTAAAAAATAAAAACAAAATAAAGACGAAGTTTGCATACAATATATGAAGATTCAAAAAGTCATCCCGGTGCTCAAACCATTCATAGACCTGAAGTGTTTAAGATGTAAAGTGTGTAACCTCTGGCAACAAAACTGCAATTATCGCAAAATAGTGAAATATCTCGTGTTTTGAAGTTTTTGTTCTTGTTAATGCATGATAATAAAAAGATACGAGAATGATACTAATTCAGCAAAGACACAATGCACTTTTTTACTTCAAACCTTAATGTTCATTTGTAATACTACATATTTACCTGCAAACTTCTGAATTGTAAATTTACATCATCGTCAACTTTATTGCCAGAATGAAAGGAAGTGCAAGCACGGTATATGCCAAAGTTGCTAATACACCTTTAAAATAAACAATGCTTAGAATAAATAAAACTGCAACAACAATAATTACAACAAAATCGCATTTTCCCTTTATCTTGTCTCACACATCCTACCTTTTACCAAATATAAATATTTTGGATCGATGCAATAGAATTTGTTTGGGTCCGTACTCTCGTTGCCTGAATGGATTTACCCTCATTAAGCCAAGAATACATGCAATAGAAATTTAGAAATGCAAGTATTTGTGAATACTCTTTTTTGTATTTTTTAAATTGTATAATAACAGTATAATACTAAATTATTAATTGAGTGCATTTCACAAGATAGTTTGTGAACAAGAAATGTCAAACGACACATATGCCACCCCCCCCTCCTTCGTGCTTGTACTATTAGTAATTTTGTTATATAAACATGCCAGAAATTGATACATTTAAGTATTCAGTTACGGAAAACGAATTTAATGCACATGTAACCATGATATTTGCCCTAGTCACCCCAAAATCAGTAACGGTCATTTCTTAAGATATGACCAATCAGTACATGAAATATAAAGACTTTGTGATGAATTGTTTTTAAGAAACCATTCTTACATTTAAGGCACCTATGGCCTTGATCTTTGAACTAGTGACCCCACGATAAATTGTATTTATCTATTACCAATCAGTATGTGTAATATGAAGACTTTGTGATAGTATTCAAGATAATAAGCGCTAACCATTTTGACATTTAAGGCCCATGTGACCTTGACTTTTTAGCAATGACATTTAAAAGAGTGACCCTTATGTAAATAGTACATGTATTTGCAAACTGATGTCAGCAGCGATTATTATGATTTTACCCATGCTCACATACATAACCAAAAAGATTCATGTACTTTTCAAATCTATGTATGCACCGTTTTTTTTCCCCAAACTACATGTACATATAACTCTACACACCTGTGTTTCCTGCGGGAGCACATTTGTCAGCAGTCATCTTGAACCCGTCAATGCATTTGCACTTTGTTGCTGCGAGGTCACACTCGGCATGGTCAATAGAGGCACATTGGGACCCATTTTCACTGCAAGCAACGCTAGCTACCTCTTAAAGTAGCAAAGCGTTTGATTTAAAATTAAAATTGTTATGTGATTTCATTTCTTTGAAGATAAAAGAAAATCAACTAGACTAATTGATACTCTACGATGTTACATTATTCAACTCTTTTGAAGACTTGGTATAGTCTTGATAAGTTCAATATCTCGTCAATATATGTAGTTGAAAACAAATGTCAGTAAGTTGAGCGATAAGCATATAATTGGCTGCATAATTATGTAACATGCACGGCCTAGCTGTTAAACTATAACAAATGAAATGATTGGAGCAATTCAAATTTAATGTTAGATATGTATTCTTATGTTATGGCCTCGTTGCCAGTTGAATGGTCACAAATGATTAAAAATTTGTTTGTTCAAACTTTTGAATTTAGTTAATTAAAAAAAGTTATTTTAATAACAGGAAAGTGCTTTGTTTTATTTTTGGATATAACTCAATGTGTACACCTTACTGTTTAAGAGATGCATTTCTTAGATATAACAAGATTCCAAGCAATAATTTATAATATTGATTTAACATTCCCAGACTGACTGACCGAAGCTTTGAGCTCTATTTTTACCCTATAAGAAGTAATATTTGATGATCGTTTATTGAAGGTGTTAAAATGAACCATCCAAGAATAATATAGGTTCGAGTTATTAAGAGGACGAACTATCCCGTTATTTTACAAATAGTAAACTATGTCCGTTTTTTTAAGTAATGGTTCTACATGAATTGTTAAATCTCATCAATTGTTAATTATGTATGGTGTACTTACTTATTAAAGATTAAACCATTCATTTGAACCCAATATAGCATATTTGTACCGGCAATATAGGAATAAACCCATTAAATTTAATAATTAAATCTAAGTAAAGGAGGACTATCGGCACAATTTTATCAAATAACTTATTTATAAAAACGTTTGGCCGACCAGAAATAAACAGGTGATTTAATATTTAATTTTAAAACATCAAACGTTGCGAATGGATAACATGTATAACTAATGTACGAGTTTGTCCTGATAATAAAGTTTAAATAAATTTGACAGAGAAGTTCAAAACAAATAATTGTTGTAATGTGTAACTCACTCATAACACATGTGCTTCCATCTGTACTGTCTTCGGCGTAGGTTGTCCCACATTTACACTTTAGACTTGGAGCGTCACATGCTGAATGAACAATTGAGGCACATTCATTTCCTCCGTCTGTACAGACAACTTCAGATACTCTTCCTAAAATTCACATATTTATCAATGTTTTAGTTCAAGTTTAACAGGGAAGACGACGGATTTGACATCGTGCCTATATTGCGTTGCAATAATATATATTATTTGCAATGACCTTCTTTGTCAGTCTCTATAGAAAGAGAGGTTACACACAAATTCGTGTAAAATAGAGGATATTGAATGGGTGTAAGTTTAAACCGGAACGAGTTAAGTAAAAGTATATTGTGGGAGCCCCTTAGTTATGAACCCACACGATAATTTTATTAATCACATACCTTAAAGGGTACTATGTTAAAGTTAAAATTTCTGTGTTTAAATTGAATTTTTATACAGGAATTCTTGCCTTAAGCCCTTTACGAAATTTTCTTGATAATGCAAGTGACGTCACATAATGAATTTCACCGCCGTGCAATAGCTGTTTTAACGGAATCATAAAAGATGTGAAGGGATACGATTAAATTGCATATTTTATACACAATAAATATCATTTTGTTGACTTATTATTATTCCTCGTTTAAAGAAAAATTGCAAGTCAATTCTGTGAAGTTGATTTTTCAAACTTGTCTGCATTTTCGCAGTACTTAAGAAACATAAAAATTATTATCAATTAAATGCTTCATTTTAAATTTAAAACAAATGTCTAAAACAATCTCATTAAATACTGAGCGAGCATAACCTTTGACACTGCACGCCACGAGTTGATTTCCATCATCATTACCAGAATTAGGCGATGTACACAAGTACGTAGATATATTTTGTTTTATCATAGGTTTATCATAGGTTAAGGTTAAAGTAACGGCGTAGATATAGTTTCTGAGATATATTCTTCCGAAAACATTGACCATCTAGTGATCCTAGGATACGTGTGAGAAAAAAATTATGACATGTTTTAAGAAATAAAGTAACCGAGACCTCCGGTGATATTCGACTTTGTTGCTTCCATCCATAGGTGAAACAATGCATTTAAATCTACCTTTGTCAAACCAGGTTAACTGGAAAAATGGTAAATCTCTTTAAAAAATAATTTGTCTTTCTTTCGTTAATGTTGTCCAAAATTGCGTGAACTCTTCAATCTAATGAACCTTTTTTTTCAGTTTCATTTTTTCTTCGAGCAAACAAGATTGTCCAATTGATTTCCAGATTATCAATATTTAATGTTAAGATAACTTATGATATAAACTGAATTGTGTTGTTTCTAGCAAAAACAATCCTTTAAAGGATTTCTCCTATGAAAGTCTAAATAGAGTCTTAAGAATAACAGATCATGCGCAAACAGAGTTTTCTAAAAAAAAAATCATTATCGACATATTTGCTCCAAAAAACGTACATTCACGTCTTTTGCAGTTTACATGATGAATATGGCTAATTCTACTTCATATCAACAAAACAATAAGTGAAGGCAAACCTAATAAAAAACATCATACGGACATGACTGTTTCTATTTTTTCTATTTAATGATCATTATCTGTACGTATCAGAGTGGTTCAACAACACGTAATTTTTATCAACTCCGCTTCAACAAATTTGACATATAAAATCTTTCGAAAAAGCGCACGTTAGTATGAATAATTATAAACAGGGGATCCTGTGTTATTGCAAATGTCAAAACTATCTTTCTTTGTTAAGCAAATTCGGTCAATTTATTTCTTTATACAACTAAGGTGTTAAAAGAATTAACATTTAAATGCATAAACGTACGTTTGCTTTGTTGGTTTGTGTTGAGGGTGTTAGTGGTCTGAACACATGTAGTTCCGTCAGTAGTATCTTCCTGGTAGCCAGTGTCACATTTACATTTCAGAGAAGTGCCACATGCAGAGTGTGTGATAGCAGTACACTCATGTCCTCCATTAGTACACACAATTTCAGATACTCTCTCTGAATCAAATTTCATCCAAGTTATGTTTTTTACCTCCGTGAACCACAATTATAATCATTGAATGTAGACTGATGTGGTTGCTCATATCACATACAAAAACTACGTATAAATATTTAGAGTTGATTTTTCTGATATAAAGACATGATTTTAAATTCTGGTATAAAATGCAAATTCAACCATGAAATTTTATGTTAGACATTCCATGAATGTTCATGTTTATCAAACAAATGACACATTTTAAATACGTAAATCAAATTTGACCTTGATCAACAAGACTATCTGCAATATTTTTTCTAAACATTGTCTGGTAAGGATCTTTTTTACGACAATAACATGTTTAATGTTAAAGTATCAAAATGAGTTGGTCAGTACATTACTATACGGTAGTTTTACCTTTTTTTTGCCTGAATCAAATACTGTAATTCAATATACTGTCTATATTTAACTCTATATTTACTAATCATTACCCAATATAAAAGATAAAACATGTTGTTGTAATGAATATTGATAAACGTTTTGGTGTAGTTGCATTAAAATCGTTGACCTATATTTGTAACCAATGTAATTGTTAGTTATAAAACGTTCATAAAAGTAAGGATGTACACCATTTGTTTAAAGACAAAATTTTAAGGACACAATATGTATCGTTTAGTTTAAACGTCTCTAAAATAATCTTTATGAATAACAATTGTAACGTTTAGTTTAAGCGTCTCTAAAATAGAATTGTCATAAAAATATTTATACAGCATTGAAAATCGTATTGCATCCTATGACACCTATTTCAAAGGGCAGAGATTTAAAAATTACTGCTTAATCACCATTCTGGTAGGAACATACTTTTCATACCTATTCCTCTAATGGTAACTACTCCGTAGAGACAAAATAATATATTAAACAAACTAAATGTTATTGTGTCGGATCATAAATAAGCAAACGATTTATTCAAAAGTCCTTTTAACAAATGCATGTTTTAATAAGGGAAACAATGAGTCTTACTTTTTTTTTATCTATTTTCCAATTTATATTGATGGCTCATGTTTTGATTACAACGATTCTTTTTCTAAACAGTTTTAAGTTAAGGTAATTATTAACAGTAAAAAGGAAGAAAATGCATAATGATTTGTTTCTATGATAATTTTTTGAAATGTAGATTGCTTGTCTGAAACCAAAAGCCCCATGTTATACAAGTCCCGTGCCCTAAATTATGCGATTCCAGCGAGCTTTTAATGATATACTGCGTTCTAAGGATGACGTCATTTTGCCGTAACGAATGAAGTTGTTAATTCATACGCTTCAAGAAGAAAAAAACGCAGATTGAAACTATTACTCCCGTCATTTCTTTATGAAATATAATAAACTATTTATAAAGTCAGAAAATTGAGAAAAATAAAATTAAATGTTCGACAAGGCTGCACATGACAGCCATTTTGTCTTATCTAAGCGTCGCATTGACGAGAACGTTAAGGTCATGCGCATTTTTCTATGCCAACAACTTAAGGTTATTCCAACCTTCTTAATAAAGCGTCAATATCTTTCGAAAACTTTTGTTTGACCTACAAGATACTATCATCTTATAAGATGTTTCTGCAGTATGTTTTCCGAACTGTTTATAAAAGCTTTGCTTTTTCTTTTGTGTCATCTAATGTCAACTAGATGCCTTATTTTGTCAGATTGTGGAGCTGATTTGTCGAAAGACTATCTGATATTTCGAAGCAGGAATGTTCTCAAATCGATTGTTGGCATTGATTTGTCAAATTATTGCTTTATTTGATCTAAATACTATGCTATTTTGTCAAAATACAGTGTTTAAATGCCTACATATTGTCTTATTTTGTCAAACAGAAGTAGTAATTAGCCAAAGTAGACTATTGAATTGTCTTATTATGTCAATTATTAGAATAATCTTGCCACAATAGGGGGGTGATGACTGGACTTAATCATGCCTTATTATGGTACGCTGCATAATGTCATGCCAAATGCGGTATGACTTGTTCAAAGAGTGTTAAAACCGAGTCTGCAATTCTTATGTAATTTTGTTGTAATTAATGCTTTCGGGGGATCACTTTGTTTCTAGATTTTTATGAAATCAAATAACCGCGCTATCTTGTCGAAATATGGTAGATATTTGTCTAAACTATTTCGTATAATTCAAAAGAGAATCGGTATCTCGTCAAAGTCTGGTGTTTTCTTGTAAAAAAAACAATCCTTTTATGTGTAACAATTGTGTTATTTTGTCCAAATAGTTCTTACTTGAAAAACGCTGTCTGTCCCGTTTTCTACTTAAAAGCGGTGTTAACTTGTCCAAATCATACCTGAGGTCGTTTATCTACCGTGTTATTTTTGTAACCTCGGTTTTGACTTGAGAATACAGTCTTTTGTTTGTGCAATACTTGTGGTATATTGTCGAAACTATCAGGTCTGTTTTAAGGTACTAGACTGAGGCATGGTCGAATGTCACAAAAAGTGAATTTTCAAGAAACATAATTTTTTTGTTACCTGCGTGTTAGAGAAACTTACACATAATCATTGATGCACTGATATTGACCTATGGCTTGAAATTCGTAATATAAAATATATATTTTCTCCAATCTCATGTGAAAGCGTTTAAAGGCTTTCGGTTTGCAAATATGTACGTTCGGTCTAAAAACAATGGTCACGTAATGAGTCTTGAACTGATTAAAAGCGGATCATATTTCAAAAGTGACTAAGTACTATGTCTTAGTTTATTCAACACATATTCAAAAAAAGAAGACAATAGTACTTTTGTATAAAAAACAATACCTTGAGTTCTGTAAGCATCTAAAATCACACACGCGCACACGCACGCACACACGCATGCGCGCACACACACACACACGCGCACACACACACACACACACAATGACATTACAAAGAAAACGATATCGTGTTTTCTACAACACGGATTAAAGCGCTGAAAGCACTGGTAGTGACGGCCTAAACACAAGAGACAAATAAAGAATCAGGCCACACAAGGGTTTTAAGTTATAAAATTTAGTAGAAATAATTTTCATGTGTGCATATCTGCAGTTATAAAATTTTAATTTCACAAGGAAGTTTTAATGTCCTATGCTAGATCGCTCTGAATTTTAATATTAACATTGTGATGCACACACATGCATATTTAACCGCATTAAATGTATATTCAACATTAAGCAGATCATAACGTTGTTGGTCTAGACATTCAAAACTATAGGTCATTATTACCTGTTTCAGGCAACTAGCAAATGGTTTACATTATCATGTAAAGCGGAAAGGAGTAACAATCTTGGTCTTATATTTTTGTTGTTATTATTATTATTATTATTATTGATTGTTCAAATTATGTAAGTCTTATATGAATTAGTAGATATAATAGAAATGAGATTGAGAGCGGAACAAGAAAAGAAAAGGACGAGAATAAAGACCATCAAAGCAAAAGCAATGTTCACAGGACGCAGCCCCGACACACACAAGCTACCATAGTACATAGTACACCCCTAATGGGCACTATAAGGAATTGAAAATTTGACAACATAGGACAGTTATATGTCTTAAATGTCACCTGTATGCAAAATTTAAGCAAAATTTACCGTGTGGTTTATGAGTTATGGACATTTTTATGAACTAAAACTTTGCCATTAGAAGGGATTTATTCAGAAATGAGGAAACTCTAAATAATCTATAATATCATCTTTATGAAAAATGTTTTCCTTTTGCTCATTGTTAAGAAATAAATAATGACATTTAGTTAACAAATTAAACAAGCAAAATGATTGTTTTTATACGAAATGTTTTTATTATGTTTAAAAATGTAACCCTACCCCACCCACTTTTAACACTAATTTGACCATTTCCCTATGTAAAAAGCCTTATTTAAAATATCCCTAAAATTTTCCAAAATGAGAGGCTATTTTCAAAGTTTGCCTAAATTTTCTTTATTGTATATTGGTTGGTCTTGCAAAATATAAAATACTTTTACCGTTTAGTTTTTATTTTATTAAACTTTGAAAATATCTGGTATCATATTTGCTATTAAATTTGGCATTATTTAGTAAATAAATACATACAATAATTATATAATTAAAATAAAACACTTTTTTCTTCCATAGGGGGTCTGAGAGATTAATAAAAAATGTTAAAAAGAAAAAAAAGAAAGAAAAAAAAATGCCCCTTCTGGGGTTTGAACCCACACCCCCTCGGTTTCAATACACTTTACAGTGCTTTAAGCCTATTTGAATACTCTTCAAAGTGGAGACAGTGTATTAGGGGTGTACTACCTTAACTCAGAAGAGGATTCTAGCAAACAAAAAATAGAACAAAAAGAAAAAAGAACACTTTAATTCTAAGATCTGGGTTATTATCGTCGCTAATGAAATAAACTTCAAACTGTCTATATGGTTGTCTTTCTTTATAAGCAAACATTCTTATAAGTTAAACGAATAAACACTTTTTAAATAAAAATTGTCCAAGTTAAGATTCATCTCCCGGTTATGAAAGCTATGTTTATATACTTATACACTAGGATTCAAGATATGCAATGAATAAACAATAATTTGGTGCATTTGTTTACATATATAAGCTGAGAAGAAAGTCATGCCTTTCCTATTTTATAGCTCTGAAATCTTAATAATTATCATTTTGATACACACACTTTAATATTTATCTGCCTTAAATGTATATTTAACATTAAGCAAATTATAACGTTTTGATCTAGACATTCAAAACTATAGGTCATTACACCTGTTTTCGGCAACTAGTAAATGGTATATATTATCAAGAAGGTCGGAAAAGTGTAACAATCTGGGTCTAATTTTTTTCCATTATTATTATTATTGATTGTTTAAATTCTGCGAGTCATGGGTGCGCTAAAAGATAAAGTAGAAACGAGATTGAGAGCGGAACAGATGTAGACAAGACACAGCGAACGACACTTATGCTCCCCTTTCTTAACCATCAAATATGACAATTATGAATACATTGACCTTTAAACTAGTGACCCAATTATGACTAATATGTGTGTGAAATAATTAATCATTTTTACCATAAAAACTATTGAGTTCTTATAGAATCATAAACGATTAATAACTCTTTTTATACGTACTAGATAGAGGCAAGGACTTTTTTTTGTGTGATAACATTAAAATGCATTGTGCTTGTTATAGTAGAAATATCTCTTTTGCATAATTTTGCTCCTCATCTAATTCTTCTAACTATCGAAATTGAAACTTTTCAATATACATTGAAACAAACTTATTATAATTTTTTACACACAAGTAAACATATATTTTTACTTTTGATTGAATATAATTATAAATAAACTAACAATATTTTAAAAATTTCAAAGACAATACATGTATATTTATCTCGGATTTACGTCGAGTACAATTCCATTTTTGAGGGCGTATTATCTAACAATTCATCAAATTTGCTTCCCTTTAAAAAGTTTTATAATTGACCTTTTCGAAAACCTAGCTAAACACCGTTTTCCGGTACTTTTCGGATTTAGCTCTAGGGAATTGCACCAAATGAATTACATAACACAGTTACATGATATTTCTATTTTTCTGTCATTGTTTTACCGATTAAGGTGAAAAAAGATGTGTTTGAAATTAATCAATATTCCTTTGATATCTATTGCAAATTTTTCAAAAAATAAATTCTTTATAATGAAATCAATAAAATTAAAACAGACGTAGTGGAATCTTCCATAATAAAAAAAGTTATTTTCTGCGTAAACTTGAGTATTTACTTTATTTTTTGTATGGAATTATTCATACAATGATATTTAATTATTTTCATATAAAGAAATAACTGTTGTTGTTTTTTTTTTCAATTTAATTTAAAAAAGGCCGAAAACATCGAGTTCGCTATAATTACATTCCATAAGGTGAATTCCCCAGAGCTATGTACAGAAAGTACCGGAAAACGGCATTTATCTAGGTTCTCGAATTCATGATTTTTTTTTTCGTCGTTATATTCAAGTTATTTTAACACGATATGTTAGAGTGTTTAGAAACATAAACAGACGATGTGTCTGTATACTCCGCTGCCCAAAATAAATATCCGTTGAGTATTTTTAGTCATATGAAGTGTGGGTAACTTACGTGCGTGTCTGTGAAAACGAACAATTTCATTTCATTTCTTCACCAAAAGCTCATGTGAAAAATGCATTTTCCAGCGTAGTTGTTTTTAAAGGCTTGAATATAATGTAAAGTATTGTGTTTATTTATTGCAATATTGTGATTTGTGAAGCAATTTGTTTACATTTATTTTGGACACCGAGTTGCCTTCCAGACCTTAGTAGAGCTAATTTAACACCAAACCATGACCAAATAAAAATAAACTTTGAGTACAATATAGTACAATTAGGCAAGTCATCACTACGTTTCTACAAGACAATATTACTGTTTGACATAATAAGACGATTCTATAAAAGTTGAATGTGCATTTGGACTGAATAGCCTGACAGTTTGACATAATCTAAGTAGGTAAACTTAGTATTTGGACAAAATAGCAAAGAGAACAAGGCACTGTTGTTAACACATAACAATACCAAATTTCGACATATTTCCAGCAATGCTGTTTGACATAATAAAATAACGTTTACATAAAAAGCAATTACTTATGATTACCCCTTACTTTTTGTCTAAGGTTAATTCCCCATAGGCCACTGGGATTACTTACACTATAAGTGCAAGTGTACCATGTGACTAAACAACTTGTACTGTTACAGGACAACTTTATTTTAAACAGTATAAAATCTGGTCATGTGGTCTATTTCCTAAAGAAAATTTAAAACAAATGACCGCCTTTTTTCTCGATTAAGCCTCAGTTTGACTTAGTTGACACTTTGTTTTCAAATCACCACAGTTATTGTTCAGGGTAGTAAAATAAATAACATATGGATTTGTGAGTAACAATAAAAATATTAACCCTCGTAAAAATACTGTTAACCTCGGCTAGCGCCTAGTGTAACAGTATTTTCCTTGGTATGATGTTTTAAATGTTACCCACAAACCCATGTATTATGTATGTATTGGCCAGTCAACACTAGTATTTCACATAATAAATTATATTTTTTTAGACAAGATATCACGAATTTTGGCACAATAAGACAGATTAACACCAATTCATAAAAAGCAACATAACAGTAAAACAAGACAATATTCAGACAAGTCATAAAAAGGTTGAACAAGATATCACCACATGTCGACATAATAAGAGTTTGACAAAACGACTGTCTTTAGGCAAGAGCGGCAACTGCCGAATTTCAATATAATGACACGGCAGTCAGACAAAATATGACAGTGTTTAGACAAGTCAATAACACATTTGGACATGACAAATGACAGAATTACTTATACCACCAGTGTTTAATAAAACTAGGCGCACATTTAACAAGATGACGCCAAGGTTTGCCAAATTTAGAAGTGTTTAGACAATTCAACACCCCATTTAAACAAGACTGAGTTTAAAAATGTTGAAATCTTAATTAAAAAAGATGGCGTACATGATAGACATATTAAGACTTCCATAAGGCAAGTAAACGTTGGATTTGGACATATTAGCATGATGATTTGAAGCAATAAGCACCACGTTTTGACAACATAAAATGAGTATTTGACCTAATGACACTATGCACAAATTTAAAAAGTTTGGACGACAACACTACTGTTACACTAAATAAGACGCTTTCTAGGGATAATTATACAAATGTAACATTGCGAAGCTATGGCGTTCTAAAGTCTTTTGTGTATTTAATTACTTCAACATGCGTCATGTTATGAGCTGCGCCGATGTACCGTTTCCGTGGTTACTTCAGGCGGCATAAGACGGTACTAGGTGTCATTTACTCAATATTCTTTTTCAATTTAATAGATGAAATATCAAATGCTACGTTTGTTTTATGAAAACAGCATGCGTGGGTTTTATGTAATCTCCCTCGTAAAATGTCTGAAATAAATTTCTTATGCAATCGTTTATAGTGTTAATCTTAGTCCTTTTGTATATAAGCTTATAACTGCAATATAAGTAAATCGACAAGTGCATTATCAAATTGAAAGCCTCAAAGTCATACCTGCAATTTAAAGAAAAACGGTTATTTATGTCAGGAACTTTTGACACTGGTTGTAACGAAACCTTTTGATAATTGTAAGAAGTCATGATTCTCAATTTATAGTTTTTAATTTTTCTTAAAGCAAGTGAAATTATGCTTCAATTTTTGTAACACCAGTATCGTAATTAAATTGTTTGTGACACGTTTAAATAGTTCTTTCATAAAATGTCATACTCAAATTATAGCCTTAGGAGTTTTATATGATTTATGAAAATACACATAAATAAAGGACAATATTCCAAATTCGGCATGTTACAAATTTTATCATTGCTCAAAACTGTTTGACAAAGTATAATTATTTGTTTATTAGAACAAAAGTGTTAACTGTTGAACATGCCTTTTGAGATACTTATAAAAAAGATACTCTAGCAGCCATCTGTTGCATAGAAAAAAAGAAAATGCTCGAGGCAACTCGATTTTTTGTTTTGATAAACAAGTCTTAAGCAAAGAAAATATGTTGAAGTTTGTTATGCTTTTTACTAACGTTTGCTTTGTAGATTGTGACTGTTAGCGCCTTGAACACATGTACTTCCGTCAGTAGTATCTTCACCAAAGCCGGTGTCACATTTACATTTCAGAGAAGTGCCACATACAGAGTGTTGGACAGGAGTACACTCACTTCCTCCTTTGGTACACACTACTTCGGATACTTTCTCTGAATCAAAATTGAAAAGCACTTTGTCTTTTATCCGTACAATAGGTAGATATGAGATAATTATACTACGTATAAATATTTGATTATGTTTATTACTCTTCTGTAACTAAATGATGTAAAATTATGACTAATAAAAACACAGCCAAAACCACTGCGAAGTTTTATAAATTTGTATTGTTTTGACATTCGATGAATGTTTTATGTGAATCAAATCAAAGACGAAGGATTTCAATGATGTAAAACAAATAAAACTAACTGCAAAATAACCATTTTTCTAAACATTATCTTATATGAGAATATATTAATAAGACAATGACACGTTTAATGCATCAAAATGAGTTTGTACTACTTAACCGTATGGGAAATTAACTGTCTGGAGCAAATATTTTAAATCACCACACTGTTCATGTTAATTAACCATTACCCAATATAAAATATAGTACATTATGAAGCATCGAATATTAATCGAACAACTTCTTTTTTCGGCAAAGTTGTATTAAAATTATTTAGGCCTAGATGTACAGCCATTGGGGATATATATTAATTATGAGACGTTTAGTCTAAACTGTTTAAAAAATAAGTTGTCATAAAACTACTTACACAACTTTAAATCATATTTCAAACAGGTAATATATTTCAAATGGCAGAGATATATACTTGTGGAATAAAGATACAATGTGTTTTCAAATCACCACCCTAGATTGTATATACTATACATACCTATCCCTCGCCAGTATTATTTCTAACAGGAGAATTAGAAGAATATACTAGTAATAATGTTTGATCATAAATAAACAATAAATTAACAAACTTTATATTCAAATGACATTGTTAGTATAACATGCTTTCATAAGGAAAACAAGTTGTCTCATAAATCTGAATTTTTGTTTTTATCTGATTGTAAGTTGATGGCCTTTGTTTTGATCACGAAGATTCCTTTTCAAGAACAAGACCTCTTTAAAGTGTTAAGTTAAGGTAATAAAGGACAGAGAAAATTGTAGAAAATGTAAAGTATTTTCAATATTGTTTTGAAATAAAGACTAATTTGGGTCTAGCATGTTTTTCTATAATAACTGTTGTTTTTTTTTGGCAGTCTATTTGCTGTGGTGTTGAAAATATGCAAAATTACGACTCAATGAGTGCAAACCAAAAATGTATTATTAATATATGCGAACTATCAACAATTATGTCACACATGAATTACGCTGTTTTCCAAAACTCTCTCTCTCTCTCTCTCCGGATACCGACAAACCCTATGTCCTTTTGTCCTTTGTTTTCTACTTACTTTTTATGCATGTGCTCCCATCTGTATTGTCTTCCTTAAATCCAGTATTACACTGACATTTCAAGCTTGTGGTGTTACATGTTGAATGTGTGAGAGTATTACACTCAGACCCTCCGTCAGTACACACCTTTGCAGATACTTTGTCTGTATCAAAATTCAATGTATCTTTTTTCTATTTTAATGAACACTGCAGCCGTAAATTAATTTTAATTAAATAAAAAAGACAAAATTTAAATTCTCATCCAGTTCCTTATTTTTTCCATAATAGATTTACATACATCAAAATTAAAATAAAACTTTACCTATGTTGTGCAGATGAGTTTTTACTGCCTGCTCATTAATATCAATTTAAGTAGCAGTGACGACTACGAACAAGCTTATTAGCGTGTCAAAATTAGATCGGTCGGAATAAAACAGAAGATAGATTTCTTAATTTAATTTTTGTGTATTGCCCCATCAAGAAATATATTGATTACACATGTTTAAAAATCCAAATAAAAATAAATAAAACAAGTATTTTAAGATAAGAAAACAAATTGAAAAAAAAAACGATTTTAACAATTTCATTTCTTCTGTGCGAGAGAAAATGAAAACCATTGACGATTGTTTTCATTACAAATAGTTCGATTTTTCTATTTTACTATTTAAAACTATACATTATAGACACGATAAATTTAGACTTTACATTTAATTTCAAAAGCGTTACCTGCTCTGCAAATGCGACCTTTTAGTACAAGAAATGTTAGTATCACCAATAATCCAAGTCTGTATATGCAACTCATGGTTTCGGTTTCTGAAGACAATATGTGCAATTATCACAAACTGTAGGAACAGTGTTTGAATGTTTAAAAAATGTAATCCGGGTTGGATTAATGGAAATCGGTTTAAATATGAACTACATAACTTTTATTTTCTTAACATATAATTTGATTAAAGTGTTTTATTTTTTAATTGACATCAAACGGAAAAAAGTCTTATACATTATCTATATATAAATTTGAACATTTAATATGATAATTGGATAACACTTTGCTTGTTCAACAGAACACACGTACATATTTTGATAGAAAATTAAACATTAGATTAACAATTAAGTCCTGTAGCTATTTCCACAGTTTTACTTGCAAAGTTTGATAAAATAAATGAGATGAACCTTGACGTTATGATAACCTATTACGAATGAAATTCCGAACGAAGTAAAAAGTAAAGGAATGAAAAACTCAATTGACTCTATTGACCTTTATTCCCATATGAACACTCTGATACATAAATTTATGTATTATAAAGATTCATCATATGTATCTAAAATGAGTCAACTTAAACTAATAGCCTTAGATTCTCCAGTTTCACTGTGTTCGATTATATCTTTATTTTTTTAAATCTTATAGACACGCACAGTGATATTGTTAAACTGTTTTTAAATACCAGCGGAAAAGAAATTAATAAATAGATTAATAATTTATCTATGACATCATTACTGTTAAAAACACGCTTATGCAAACGTGAAAACAACTGTTAAATCGCAAACAACAAATGCCTTCGTTGAACCACAAAGATTGGAAACTATTTCATCTTGGTAAAATTATATCTTTATTTTTACCTAGATAGAATTAATAAAAGTGTTCAAACGTATTTTTCCTGAACCTTTTAATAGAAACCTACCTATTAAAAAATCAGAAATAATTGTTAAATGCAAAACAGCATTTAAAAATAACTCTTAAATAATTAAAACATATACGAGTATATATATATATATAAAGAGTTGCTTTTCTTATGTTAAATTGCAAATATACAAACAGAGGAGCCTAGGTAGAAGTGAAAGCAACCAACCGCCAAACGAAATCTATATTGCCGATGTCACTTACATTTTCATACACTTAAAAGATAAACTTTAAATTAATTATCTTCCTTGTTTAATTTATCTATCAATTGTATACCTAATGAACTATTTAATACGTAACGTTTTTTAAAGGCACAATAAAAGCACTTAACAAATATCTACAACTGAAACAAAAACAACATTAAATTTTGAATATTTAAAGTAAAATTGTTAGTTCAAAACTAATCGTAAATGTAATATACTGTATCTTATTTCTTTCTTCGTTTCATTTTTTCTTGTTTACTTGGTTACAACGTTGCACACATAGTATTATTTTACCCGTTATTTCTTAATCAAAATACACACGTATATTTCATGATACCCCTAACTTTAAGTAAATCAATTATTACAATTCATAAAAACAAAACTGTAAACTTACGTTTTTTCATGCAAGGTTCACGGCAAGTAACTATGCCCAATTGTACAGAAAAACTCCCTTTTATAGTGTTTCTAATGGCTTCTAATAGCAACACGAATAAACAAAACATGTTAATCGTCCATATATTGAACACATGTCTTTTTAAAATTGCTGATCCGCCCATTTGCTGTCACGTGTACACTTTGTTGTGCGATTGGCATTATTATATCTGCACAGTAAAGCAAACACGTTTACAGTGTCTACCATTTTAAATAGTAGTGTTCATCAATAAAAAGCGTGAACGACCTGTGAAAGAATGATGTTACACCATAGCTGTGCAGTTCATTGATTAAAAAATACTAACTTATTGGTGCACTTAAGAAAAAGCTTTACGACACGGAAATTAAATTACGTCCGTATCAGCACTCGTTTATACTTGAGACTGGACGGGTACACTTCAGTGTTGCTGAATGGAAAGCTAATACGTCTTTTTTCGTTTCTTTTTATTGGAGAGGGGAGTATTTGGTTAGATATTGTGACGGGTCAGATGCCTTTGATGCCTTATCAACAAACTATAAAAAGTGGACATTAATTTATTGGAAGCCAGTACTATGTACTTACAGCACTATCAAAATCATCTCAAAATAATTGCATATTCCAATAAATTAAAATATTTAATGTTTATTAAAATGAACATTTCACAGTTTTCTAAAGATAGGATAAAGTAGTTAAACGCACAATGTATTTTTAACCATCTCCTTAGAATAATCATGGAATAACATCGACCCTGATATTCGAAACTCTTCAACACTCAACATGCTTAAATTTATATTTAATACTATATAAAGAACCAACAGTTCCAACATATTTCCTTAATGGCCAGAGCTCCATATCTAAATTGCTGGTACGTTTAAGAAATCATTAAAGTATATTAAATAACGATTTTTGTAATAACGATTTGCGCGCAGATTTATTTTGATAATGTGATACGGTCAGTATAATCGCGGTCATTTTTTAATGTAACCGTTAAGTCGGACAACGAAAACATATTTACTTTCGAAAACCTCGATGTTATCATCCATTTGACATTGAAACACAAATGTTTGGTCGTAAAAAAAATATGGAGATAACGCTTTAATTCTCGAATCTTTAACGAACTTTATCAACACAACCCATCGTTTTCATTCGAAAGTCTTTCATTTATGTACCTGGGTAATTTGCTCTAATCTAATGTACTTAAATACCAATCATTCACAAACTCTCATTCCCCTAAAAGCAACTACAATTATTATAATAATCACTGATTAAGTGATATCAGAATGGCAACCTGTGGATTGATCGCACATTTAAATCAGTATTGCACATTAAATGAATATCAAATGAACTGTAAAATCAATTACATTATTTTAAATAATATATTCATGTTTAAACGAATTATTGTTGCCCTAAAAGATATTTTATATAATATTAACTTTTGAAAAGTGCTTTATCAAATGTTTCTGGATATTGTTGCCCAACCCATTTTCTTTTTGTATAGTTTTAATGTATTTGCTGCAAAAAAAATGTTTAAACTAAGGATAGAAAGAAATCAAATGTTTATGAAACTTCAATGCAAAAATGTGTTTAAGGTATAAGCACCCTAATGCATTACCTCCGCTTTGAAGAGTATTCAAATAGGCTAGAACTACTGTTAACTACATTGAAAATGAGGGCCATGGGTTCAATCCCCAGAAGGGTCAACTTTTTTTCTTTCTTTTTTTTTTAACATTATTTATGTATCTCTCATGTCCCATTTGGAAAGAAAAAAGTGTTTAATTTTGATTTTTTAATTTATATAGGTATTTATGGGCTAAATTATGCTAAATATAGTAATAAATATGGTACCTGATATTTTCAAAGTGTAATATAATCAAAACTAGACGGTAAAAGTATTTCATATTTTACAAGATCAACCAATATATACTTTTTTAAAAAAATTAGGGAAACTTTGAAAACAGGCACTCATTTGAGTAAATTTTAAGAATTTTTTAAATTAGGCTCCCTAAGTAGAAAAATGGTCAGACACGTGGTAAAAATGGGTGGGGTAGGGTAACATTTTTATACAGATTTCATAAATTTTAAATAGAAACCATAATTTTGCTTATTTGGATTGTTAGCTGAATGGTACTATTTGCTTCTTACCAAAAATTAATGGGAAAACATTTTTCATTAGAATGTTATTGCAGATTATTTAAAGGTTCCTACTTTCTAAAAAAGGGCCCTCATAACATCCTAGCTTGAGTTCAGAAAAGTGGCCATAACTTGATTTCCGTACGGTAAACTTTGTTTAAATTCTGCATACAGGTGTACTTTATGGTTTACATCTGACTTACGATGTCAAGTGTTTAGTTCCTGATAGTGCCCATTAGGGTCCTAATACCTTAACAGTGCCTCTTTATGGAGACAACGTGTGTTACGCATGTTTTTTTTCTTGTCTAGCTCCCCGATAATGAGTCTCGGTAAGCTACCATCATGACAAGGCTTAGCAATTTTAACAGTTGTACAGTCTATTTTTTTTGTATACGGAGATAAGAAAACAATATTTTCTATATGCCGAAAAAAGCAACAAATGTTAAGCTGACGTATTAGAATGAGTACTTTTACTTTTACGGAGAAGTCTCAAAACAAAACGCGTCATTCTGCAGAAACTCATGTGTCTTATTTAAAATTATATAAGCCTCGCCTGCTTCGAAGGTTCACTGGAACTTTATTACTTTTAACAAATACCATTAACTACTTATTATAAATACGATAAGCATAACCATGTTTTCAATACAAAACAAATAATTGATATCATTATAAGTTTTAATGTTGTTTTTAAAAACTATTCATACAACTTTCTATTAAAAGCTATTTCATTGTTTAGCAGTAGATGTCATCTCCAAGTTATTATAAATAATGGCATATTTCAATAAAAAGTAATGACATACCTAAAAAATATTGATCATATGATTTATAAAAAGTCTTAAACGCAGCTACTTTAATTGTTGACATGCTAAAAAACAACTTCATTTCCATTATTTGTATATTTAGTAAGCTAGATGACTATATTTTGAGACGATTTGTAATTCTACATAAAGTAGTTAAATTGCTTTCTTTAAACATTACTTTGAAAGTCAAATGATTCAATTAAAGTCACACTCACTTTTTTGATAAGCAAACTTGATCTTTATCTGTTAATTATGTCAAAACTTGTACTTTTAAATAGATCTACAAAGTTACCTCAATCATCAAAATAATGTAGTGTTAAAGCTAAATAATTCTATTTAAAGTCACAATTCGTAAACTGTTAAGTGAAAAGTTTAAATCAAGTCAGTAACTTTTGGAAAATTCAACCTCGTTCCAGACCTAAAATTTATTTAGCCACAAGTTGTTTGATGTTTGACTGCGAAAGATTAAATTGTCATATCCTACGTTATTTGTAATACAGACTGATTGTCACGCAGTCAACTGTTAGTCATAATATAATACTTAAGTATACATAATAAAATATTTTAGATTGGAAACTAAAACTCATTTAACATATTTCACGGTCACTGTGTAATAAAACAAAAAGGTAAAAAAGGACAAACTTAAAAGACAAAGATTCTCTTTTCCCTATAAAGACCTACGCTTATTATTAAACCTTAACTCCATATAAGTTGATAATTGCCCTTTTATTCTCCCCATCTTATGCTCATTTAATTATTATTATTATTATTATTATTATATACCACATTTATATAGCACTCTTTTCATAAATAATAAATGTTCAAGAGTGCTTTACATAAATCCGATAAAACATAATCATATATATATAAGACATAATGTACAACATAAATGGAGTAAACCTATCAAACAATAATGATAATCTAAAACCAGTAAAGGATGGTAAGAAATACAGACACATTTAGTTTAAAATCAAGGCACAATTAAAATTAACACTGATAATATAGCAGAAGTAGTACTTGATTTATGAACTAACGTCCATAGAACTTTATGAAATAATGTGTTTTGAGAGCTCTCTTAAAACATGGCAAGGTATTACAGTCTCTAATGTCAGGTGGTAACGCGTTCCATAATTTCGCTACGGCTGTCTGGAAGCACCTGTCACCATATCGTACTGTCCGAGATTTAGGCACAACTAATGTCATTGAGTTATTCTGGGACCTCAGATTTCTGACTGGGATGTACACGTCTATCATGTCTTTTATATAGGCTGGTGATTGATCGATTAGGGATTTATATGTATAAGTCAAAATTTTATATTCGACCCGATACTCTACCGGAAGCCAGTGAAGTTCACGTAAGATAGGTGTTATGTGGTCATATTTGAGTGTTTTGGTCACAATTCTAGCTGCTGTATTTAGAACATGTTGTAACTTGGTCATTGACTGCTTAGAGACTCCATATAACAGTGCATTACAGTAGTCTAACCTAGAAGTAACAAGTGAATTTACTAGAGATTTGGTTGCTTTAACAGTAAGATAGGGTCTGATGTGACCGATTTGTCTTAATTGTGCATAACAGTTCCTACAGACATTATTTACATGTTGTTCCATCTTCATGTTCGAGTCAAGAAATGCACCAAGATTGCGCACACTAGATGATTGGCTTATTTTCGAACCGTCGACTGTTACTGTAACATCTGAAACAGGTTGTGCGTTATGTTCAGATGAGAAGATGATCAACTCTGTTTTATCGCCGTTTAGCTTCAGCATGTTGGCATTCATCCAACTTACAATATCTTCAAGACATCTTTCAATACGGTTTATATTCTCTTGAATTGAAATATTAGTCACTGGTTTGAAGGATAGATAGAGTTGTGAGTCATCTGCGAAGAAATGGTTGTTTAGATCATGTTTACGGCAGATTTCTCCGACAGGTTTCGTATACATCACATAGCTCTTTGGTCCCAGGACAGACCCTTGAGGTACACTGTACTCCATGTGGACTGGCTGTGATAGTTTGTTGTTTATGCATACAGTCTGGTATCGGTCGGTCAGGTATGACGTCATCCATGCGAGTGGCTTGCCTGTAATTCCAAAGTGTCGTTCAAGGCGGCGAAGGAGCGTACCGTGATCAATTGTATCAAAAGCAGCA